CATCATATATATATATATATATATATATATATATATATATATATATATATATATATATATATATATATATATATATATATATATATATATATGAGCTAATGGAAATAAATTTATTCAGGTATCACATAACAGATGAGTATATTATAATATTGCCAAAATATGTAAGTAAATATATGGAATGTATTTATCATTGACTTAGATATAACTTTTAACTTTTAAAAGAACAATCCTATTCTCTCTCTCTCTCTCTCTCTCTCTCTCTCTCTCTCTCTCTCTCTCTCTCTCTCTCTCTCTCTCTCTCTCTCTCTCTCTCTCTCTCTCTCTCTCTCTCTCTCTCTCTCTCATATATATCCTTTGGTCGGTTTGACTTAACTTTTACCATCATTAGTAACTCCAGCATATCGTGGGATGCCATAAACGAAAATCTTCTAAATTCTTCGTTTGATAGATTTAGCCCGTATCTTACTACGATGGTCGAGAGACCGACCGACCTATATTCTCATATTTAATTTATAATAATCGATTTTTAAAACATTATAGTATGTTTATGAGAGAACAACAAACAATACATTAAATACATTACATTATGTGTACCACATAACCATGGAATTTACTGTATAATATCGACATGGTTGCAACATTGCATCATTGATAAATATTGTAAATAAATCCCAAGGAAAATGCACCACATATCGTTACGACGAACCTTATTCTTGTAGGTTACTTGGTGTAATTACTATTTCAAGGTTTTAATCCAGCCGAAATTCCTCTCTAACTCCACATTTGGGCGTAGTTTGTCCGTTATGCATGAGAGGGGAGGGGGAACAGAAATCAGAAAGGATTTTTATGAAAGTATGTAACATATTAAATTCATTAAACGAGAATTATTGATGTTTTATTGTTATTTTCATACATCACTAATGATAAATATGTGAAAATTTATAATTGATCTAGAATCAACTGGAGACGGTCCCTCGAATGTTTATACATGCGTACTATTGCGTCATGGACCGATCACAATTTGAAATATCAGTAGTATTGGTATATCAATTAGTTTTATGCTAACACATCAAGTGTCATGCTATTTTTAATGTGGTATAAATAAATAAATTGTGTGTGTGTGTGTGTGTGTGTGTGTGTGTGTGTGTTTCTGTAAATGCATGCATATATCATTCACAAAATTTATGTGTAAATATATGAATTCATATATCATTGACAAAATATGTGTAATTATATGCATGCATATTTTTGTGTCAGCGCTATGAACAAATGCATGGAGTGATGATGGAACAACATGTAAGATAATATATCATCATATATATGCACTTTTTTACAGGATTGGTATGATGTTTATACGACAATAGTTTTATGAATAGTTGTTTTTTTTACAGGTGTTGCATAAGATATGTATAATTATCGCGTTAAAATAACCAATGTACTAATGTTCAAAGGAATTAAGCCATCTATGATTAGGGTCTGTATGGAAATATCAATACATATTTGATGAAAAATCAATACATATATGACGAAAAATCAATACATACTTGATGAAAAATCGATACATAGTTGATGCAAAATCAATACATAGTTGAAGAAAGGTTTCATCTGTGATGTTTAAACATCACATGTTTAATGGTGTTATCCATGATGTTGCTCATTCCGTCTTCAACAACGTGTCAAAATTTGTGGTGTACAGCCTAGTCTAGATTAATTTACAAAAGCTGTAGCAAGAAGAATACCGTATGAAATACGAACTGCCGTAACGGTAGATATGAACTGCCGTAACGGTAGATTCCATTCCAAATAATCCATTGTTTTGTGATAACAACACAAATAATAAAATAATAATACCAGCAAGAACTTCAAAGACGCCATTTTATACATAATATTTTTTAAAACAATAAATATAGCAAAGGCAATGTACGGCGGATTGAGAACATAACGGCCCATCGATGGCCACGGCATACTACTTGAAAAATCTGATTAAAATTAGATCACTGTCCTACTTAAATGTCCAATCAGTATCTCTGACCGAATTTCATGCAAGGGCGGCCGCAGAAATTTGTCCTCTGGGGTGGGTTGGTGGGTGGTGACTTGGTTTTACCTCTTTTTAAACGCGGGTTTTAAATCTTGTTAGCACTGATTTGAGATATTTTATAATAATTTGTGATCTTTTACATTCATTAAATTCTTTTATTTACAAAGATCACAAATATATTCACAGCGAATAGAAATCCACTATTACAAAGGTAGTTCTAGTTCAGTAAAACGCTGACTATGGAAAAAGTGTTCCGTACCCAGCCTAATGTTTTATTGGGTCTTGCTTTTATTCATTTTAGAAATAAAACAATTAGTATATCAAGTATTCTGTAGCAAAACACACTCCTAAATAATATCTTAGCAAGTTATTTTTCTTTTACGCAAAAGCTTGCCCATGCATAAAATTAATCGTGATGTATTGACGTCACAGGGCATAGGTATTATCAAATATCAGTTGCACTGTAGATAGTTTTAGACTGGTTTAACAAATAGTCTGTGTTCACGAGCGTGTATAATTTTGTAATAGGTGCCATTGACTGGCGAACAATAATATTTGACGTCACGCTCTCGTGATACATATTTACAAAAGCAGACAAGTACTTGAACAAAAGGCAGACCTGTTCCAATATTATTTCTAAAATACTCCCATCGACTGATTTATAGGGTGATAACCTTTCCGTTTCCAAGGGAGAGAAATACATAAATAGGAGCGAGAATTGGGTTTATAAACGTCATATTCATGATGCCTTTAAATTATTATATTTTTTAATAGCACTTTTAGCACGTTATATCATGCAGAGGACAGGAACGGCCTTAGCAGACGCGAGGCTTGAGTTAGATCATTTTGGCCGGACCCCTAGATTTACGCTTGAGGTTCCTGTGAGCACGGCATTTGGAAAAAAACATTTTTGAACAAATATTATATGATATTGAATTTAAAATTTTCTTCAGTCGCTTTAAAATCTCTCTCTCTCTCTCTCTCTCTCTCTCTCTCTCTCTCTCTCTCTCTCTCTCTCTCTCTCTCTCTCTCTCTCTCTCTCTCTCTCTCTCTCTCTCTCTCTCTCTCCCTTTCCAAGTTATAACCCAGATGGAGTATACTTTAGTGCCTGTTATTGAAGCATGACCAGAGGGTGAAACCCAAAATCCCAATGCACATGTTGTAGTCCTGTGCTAGACGATGACTCAAACCAACTTTCAGATCCCTAGAATACATTTATTATTATTATTTTTTTTAAAAAAAAGAAATGATGCAAACCCCAGATTCTGCTTCCACTCAAAGGGTCATAATTAACATTTTAAAGCAATGTGTACATCTAAAGACTACCGCAAATTATATCCCAAAGAATTAGTTTTGTGCCGTAACATGTGTAGGAGGACCAATGCGTTACTAATTGAAGAACAGATATACATACAGACGGACAGAAACAATGAATAAGACCTTATACCCACCTGTTTAAAATATAAACATGTATAAAAGTTATTGCTCATTGGTTGATAAAGTACACCGTCTATGAAACTGTTTTTCATGACACGAGAAACAAAAAATCCTCATATATTTAACTTAACGATATAATAATAACTCCCACATATTAACCATATTGACGCAACTTTTATTTTAAGTTTGAATACTAATTATACTGTATCACAAATGCAAACAACGACTGTAATTAAAACAATATTTTTCATTAATCTAAAAGTTTACAGTTACATTTCTGTCAGCGTCAATTAGATTGCAATCAGATCTTCCCAGTCCTACGTGGAGATGCGACAGACTCATAAAAGTTCATGTTTTAGTGACATTTGGAATTTTCAGTCCATTCATTTTTAGCAGCCTATCTCATGTTAACATGAAGTCATCAGTTTCTACGGAAACAGACTCAATTGTTTGAATTCAAAATTCCATATGCGCAATTTATAGAACAAAAAAAAAAAAAATAAATAAAAGAGGACGTCGACACTCATCTAATCTGAAGATTGATAATGAGTTTCAGAAAGTTGCGTTTTTCCATGGACAAAGAACTTTTGAAATATTATTTTTTTATAGTATATACTTTTAAATCTTTAATACATGTACAATTTCATGCAGTTGGCACTAATATCATTGATATATTGAAAATTAAACTTTATTACATTCAGTCTATACTATTAAATGCCGTCTATACTCGGGCCGAAGTAGAGTCCGTATACAATCAATATCGTCCCTGATCGGTCGTCGGATGATGCGCCAAGAGATTGATTATTAGTAAAATATTGAATGGACCGAGATCTGCCGATGCATTGTGCAACGGCAGATCTGGGTCTGGGCAGTTTGCAGTTGACTCGACTTATAAAAGAATATATACGGTAGAAGTAAGTGTTATATCTTTCAACGATTTTCTGACATAGAAGCATCCTATATGTCTGACCATCAAATGGAAATGATATTTGGTCCATAAAGGGAATAATGGCTAATGTTGCATTAAAACATGCTGGTTATAAACAGTGATGAAAACATAAGGCTAGATAAATATGCAGTACTTTTTAAAATGGATGTGATATTCTATTCGATGTCAACATCTTATAAATCATTTCAGACTAGTTACATCTGTTTATCAAGGAAAATTCTTGCATTTTTGTAACCTTTCAAAGGCGTGGTCATTCTTAATGATGACATAGCATTAACGCATTAAATTTGAATTAAACTAATTCGAAAAAAGTAATATAAAGCACGCAAGTTCTATTTTACGTATTGTTTACACTGTTTTCTTTTTTTGTTTGTGTCTTTTTTCAACTTGCCATCTCTACTCTTCATAATTTATCGAAAAGTAGGAAATGCTCATCTGATTTGAAAGAAGATGGTAGGCATGAAAATTTGATTCTTTTTTAAATGAGAGAAAAAGAGAACAAAATACAAAGAATAGAAAAAAGAAAAGCAAATATGGTGTTATTTGCTGTTTGTCTGTATCCACCTGTCCCTCACTTTTTCGGTGGTCTAGTGGTTAGAGCGTCCGCCTCGGATGCAGAAAGTCGCGGGTTTGAACCCCGGTCTAGTCATACCAAAAACTTATAAAAATGGTACTAACATCAGCCTCGCTTGGCGCTCGGAATTAAGAGATTAGTTTTAGGACTGGTTGACCTGGTCTTAGGATAATATGAATTGGTGGGAAGATCATGCTATATGTCTGCGTCTTGATGCAACAGTGCTAGACATCACTATAAACTGCCACACTGCAGACATCATAACGATATGACTGATTTGTTTTTTAAAGCTACGTTAAAAATCTCTCTCTCTCTTCTCTCTCTCTCTCTCTCTCTCTCTCTCTCTCTCTCTCTCTCTCTCTCTCTCTCTCTCTCTCTCTCTCTCTCTCTCTCTCTCTCTCTCTCTCTCTCTCTCTCTCTCTCTGGTAGTTAATCATTATGTCTCAATCGAGCTCTCGTTTGTCTACATTTAGGAAGCTACCCCATAATGTGACCGCACATGACTTAAATCACTTCATTGAAAATTAATGTTGCTTTCAGTCACGTCAGCGTCACCAATTTAAACACATCTCTAGAGTGTTGGCCGAGAGTTCGACTTTGGTAGGTGGGAGTTGAGGCGGAAAGCCGGTACGCTCTGTTACAATACGCTTCATAAGGTCTTTTTTTGGGGGGGGGTCTCTGACCTCTAGGGGTCAGGAAAAGGCCTAGTACCAAGGCCAAGTGCCCTCTTAAAGGGACTGCAGTCTATGCCCGGGACTGTAAGCAGTCGTATCAGCCTTAGAGTAGTAAGCGACTTAAAACCATTTTAGCCTTTAGCCATAGCCGTGAGTTCAATAAATTACTTGGGAACAAAATAAGAACTCAAAACCCCAGTTTAACAAACAAATCTGCTCTCTGTATAGAAAGCAAACAAAATGTATTGGTTTTGTTTTCTTGTACAATTCTTGGTGTAAGTTAAGTAAAGTTATTTTGCAACTGATTTGATTGTCTGACCGGGACTATAACCACACATATTACTGTATACCTTCAAAAATATAAGAGTTATAAAGAATAAAGCATGACATCATTCTTGAATAAATTATAATCAGAAAGAATTAGTCTCTTTAAATTTTAAAGCCTTTATACATGGCCTGGTCATTTACCTGATCGCTGTACATTCCACAAAGAGACCGAAATGTTTTTAGGGGTTATTTATACGCAATCTCGTTAAAATCAGATATCCACACATCGACATATAAATATAATAGACACCAATATGAAGTCATTTTCTGCTGACCTTTGTGGTTCGCCAGTCAAATTAATACTTTAAAATTTCTGAAAGTGACGCTCGTCATTCTGAACATAAAATTACTAAAGATAACTCTTTCTAACACGAATTTGCAATGCTTTCTCAGATAGGATACTAAAAGTAAGTGGACTGGAAATTACAAGGGTCATCAAAACATAAACTTTTATCGGTGTCTGTCAGATATACACGTAGAATTGCACAGACCTGAATTTGATCAGATTGTATTTATATTCACAACTAGCGAGCTCTCACGATAACGTGTATCTGAATTTACCGATTTTGCGCCGTCAGCTGGAACTCTTCTTACAGCTTAGATAACGTCGCCACAAGTGTTAAACTCGTTCTCTCGCTATAACTTTGCTCTTGAAAGTATTTGGAAACATTATTAATACAATTTAATGCTAAAGCTAGCAGAGATGGCTCTCTTATAATACATTTATCTATCATTTCAAAAAAAAAAAATTAAAAAAAATAAATAGAAACGACCTTTCGAAAAGAAGCTTATTTCGGAGACCGACGCTTTGTACGGGCAATGACTTGTTATGACGTGATTTAGGTAGAAGTTTGAGTGCAGGCCTTGAACAAATTTACCAACCACGACTTTGTCGTGAAATAGGGACAAAGTTGAGCGGTGAAAGAAAAAGTCGAAAATCTCCAATTCGACTCATTTTGACAAAAAGTTATAGCACAGGATTACGTCCTTGGGTGGGATAAGACTTTAACAGCGATGCTGTATATACATTTGGTGGTGAAATGCCATATGGAGACAACTTTATAAAATGTATTCAGATTATAGTGTTGTAATCTTTGCTGTTATGCGTCGTTGGTGCAGAATCCGAAGATTTGTATAACACGCCAAAGACAGTGTAAACGTCAGCATTTACCAAAGACGTTACAATGTAACCAATGATCCGCGACATTTAAACTGTCAGTTTTATTCATATAAAATTAAATATTAATTGTTGTTCTAAACTTTATTACAAATGTAGCTTAAACACAGTATCTGCATTTTAAAAAACTTTCCAAAGAAAATCATTGATTCCTGTATACATAATTTTAGCTAGGTATTTATATGGATAACAAAAAAAACCAAAAAAAAAATAACAAAAACAAAAAACAAAAAAAAACAAAAAAAAAAAACAACAAAAAACAAAAAAAAAACGCCTGCATTGTTTATCGTGTCCCAGCGCGCGACACTTAAGTAGGTTTATAGTTAGTTGATCACACCTTTAGGTTGACCTCGTCTAAAATCGTCCAAGTAGTTTAACATTGATCAACACGAGTGCAAAGCATCGTGGGATGCCAGGGTACCAGGCGAATACATGCCCGGGACTTGACTCGGATATCCTGTAAATCATACGACTGTACGGCAATGACCAATCATTACACATTTCAACCCATCTACCATACAGCATACTGTAGGTTTACTAAGATAAATATGCAATGCGTTTAAATAAATATTATTGTGAACAAACAGATACTAGGATCCAGTTTTGGAAAAGATGGTTGTATTTAAGTCTAAGAGACAACGTAAGTAAAGATTTGAAAAAGACAATCCAGTCTGTAATTCCGAATATTTTCCAGTTAATGTCATTGTCCAAGAATTCTGTATGAACACTTGTATTTTCCTGGGTAAAAAAATAACTAATTATATAAAATAAAAAGTCAACTCAAACTGGTCACAACAAAACATCTTTAAGTGTCAAAGGTTTAAAGCCCACCTAGCTAATTCTTAAGAAAACAGTTATACACTAAGACACAAAACAAATTCACCGTATGAGGGTCACGTAGTCATCCTTTCAGAACAACATAGAAGCTTTTTACGTGCATAACATCACGTACTCCAGTATGGTCTTGACTCCACTTAACGAATATTACTTACTCTTAGAATGAATAAAATAAAATATTAAAAAATATTTTAAAAAGTTGTTTACCCAAAACGGACACTTGTTCTGAACCAAGGCCAGCAACTAGATACAGTGTTTCTATTACTGGTTGTTTATCAGAATCAACAATCAGGTCAAACAGAACTGAATTAAATTTCGAAAAAAAAATATCAAATTCAGTGGACAAAATTATCATTACAATAATATGCAATGGAACAAAGTTTGAACTAATAAATAAATTTTATGTCTGCTAGCCCTATCTAACAAATATCTTGCACATCAAGGATATTAGTAGATCAAACTATTTCAGACTATTGGTATATCAACACATTAAAAACTGAATTCATTCTAAACACAATTGCTTTGGACTGAAATCAATTTAGTTGTGGTCAGATATAATTTGAAAGGATTAATTATTTAAAGTATTCATTATTATCACAAAGTGTTAAATGACGTTTAGTCCGATATTACTACTTTGGGATTATTAAGGACTCATTCAAAGACCGTCTAGATTATATCATTGTGTTATAAAGCATTTAACATAAGCACAAGTTCACATCTTGTAATGTACCGACCATTTAAATTTCGGGGTGGGGAAGTCCTACGAATTTCTTTTCAGATGAGATATTTTATTTATTTAATCCCAAGGTAATAATTTTAATTCTAATAATATGATGGATATAATTTAGTGTTATTTTGCTATAAATCAGATCAAGGTATTTTTTGCAACTATTGACCAACGGAATTTTTATTTCGAAACGTGTCAGGTCTCTGCCGCCAAAATTTTGTACCGCTGTATCTATGAATATACCGCGACAAGTACCACGGTATACCGCAGTGTTTCTGAACATACTGCGATACGTACCACGGTATACCGCGGTATTTCTGAGCATAAGGCAATACGTACTACGGTATACCGCGGTATTTCTGGACATAACGCCATACTTCCACGGTATACCTCGGTATTTCTGAACATAACGCGATGCGTACCACGGTATACCGCGGTATTTCTGAACATACGCAATACGTACCACGGTATATCGCAATTATATTAAGGACCAGCAATTAAATGTTCTGGGGTGGGGGCCTGATGCTCTAACCACTAAGCCGCCGGAGCGGTCGCAAATAAACGTAAACATGTCTTACAAGATGAAAGATTATCAGTTAATTGTAACTTCTACAAAACGTATTTAAAATATAGGAAAAAGCTGAAACATTAAATCCTTAAGAATTTGTGCCAATATTTCGCACACAAACTGTAATATTTTAAATTCGGTATTTTCTCTGGCAGTACATCATCACGAAGCTACATAATTAAACTGACAAGAACAAAACAAATCTAAGAGTGGGATCGATAAAATGGCAAGAAAGCTATTTGTGTCAGTGAACACCAGCAAGATATGTAATCTGGTCGAATATTGTCCTTCAGGCGACAAGCGTGGATCAGATATATGTATTTTACACATGATCTGCACACTATTACTTCATCTCTGCGATGTGTCGTTATACATGAGGGATGACACTCCAGTGATTGGTCTGACGTTTTGAAACTTATTTGTGGACTTTTCAACCCCAAAGCAAAAAATACCGATGAATATAATACATAAAGAGATTATATGGAAACTTCGCATGCAGAAGTTTGTGACTCTATCGAGCAGATCTGGCTACTTTGATTTCCCATTCCCAACAATCAATGCAAATATCACTCATTATGCACATGACTACCATACAGACAAGATAGCTACCAATTTAACTATATTTTAGCATAGCCATCTATGAAGATATATGGTAATGGACAAACGAGTGAACGGACATCGAGGCAGGTTTCGGATTCGATAAACAGGTCAGCAATGTAAAAAAAAAAAAATTCCGTTCCTATGTTGCTTAAGGAGAATCATTAAATAGCAGTGA